TTTTTTTTTATTTTGTCGGCGTCTACAAATCGACCCACTCTAATATAGATATCAATTGTTGAGGCACTGTTTAGAGCTTCAGAATTTTCTTCAGGGAATATGSAAATCTTGGAAGTTCATTTAAAAACCATACGCCCTGTGCATCAATAATACGGAATAATACACAAACGGCTTGGCGGCACAAAAATAAGCAAGTTTTACCACATTGTAGAAGGAAATATTCTGATTGGTTTTGCAGGTTCCTTTATAACTCGAAAAAGTTACCACTTAATTTGGTTTTTTTAAAAAATGCATCCAGTAAGCGGCTAATTAGGCCCACGAGGATGGCGTGATAAGTCCGATAGCAAATGAATCCATCAGAATATTGGGACCATATTTACTAACTGAATCATAAGAACCGCTCGTTTGGCCATATAAATCATGTTTTTTGTCCGAATCAATATAAGTTAGAACCTTATTCTAAAAATCATTAAGTAAAATCTTTAAATCAGCAGCAAGCCCGGCAAGKGAAAAGAGCTACAGTAATCCGTACAAATCATATCAGTTGCGTATTCGTTTCGACACTATAAAGATTTAGAATAAACGAAATCGACTAATACTTACAGTTGAAGAGAGAAGTCAAGTCAAGTCTATAAAAATCTCATATATGTCAGGTGTTTGTTCTTTTCTTTTGTTCTTTCTCTTTGGGAGAACTCAAAACGACTAATATTTGTATAAGGAAGCAACCTCTTCAAAATTGGAGAGAAATTTCTGATTAGTCTACAGAAAATTGCCATAGACYTTGCGAAGAACACTTCTCTCGAATGCTCCAAGTGATTTTTCATTTCAACTCCTTATCGTCCATGTTTATCCACCATATAAAAAAAGATAAAAGACTTATAGAGTATATTTTTTATTCGTCGATACCGCTTCTTAATTGCCTACCGATCTCAARGTTGGTGAAAGATACTCTACGCTTGATCTCCAGGCTCAGCTTATTGGTTGAATTTATGCTTCCGAAATATATAAAACCCAACAGTGAGATATTTCGCAAGATTGAAGCAATTTTTGTGTTCATCCCCCAGGAGACATATGAATGAAACTTAAAAAGTATGTGATATAATACTATCATTGATTGTGATGGTAAATCGATCATACGACCTTTATGTAATTGGAATGATTATTATTACGAGGGCACGAAAATTTAACTTCTGTAAAGGATGTGTTTCACATGATTGGCTCAACTTATGATCAACATAATCGGACGACTGAGCGTACTATTCGCAGCATCACCACCACCCATTTTTAGACCCAGCATTCGTGATGGAGAATACTCGACTGAATAGACCATGTTCAGCACGCAGTCAAGAAAATATTGCAGCCGTAKATGATAAWGTACACGAAGACCRTGGAGAGTCCWTTCAGCGCCGTTCGCCCCAACTCGGGCGGAGGTATGGAACGACTTCCGTSTTCTGAAAGYGCACAAAATACAGCTTGTGCAAAAACTGGATGGGACTTTGAAAAGTTCCAAGAAGACCTGACGTTTTCGAGATTAATTTAACTCAGTTATGAGGACTATTTTTGGCTTAATTGGTATATAAACAAGCAGTAACCTGAATAGATTCAAGAGCTGCCATTTCATCCAGAAAAAAAAACGGTGAATCTATAGGTTTATATTTCTTAGAAAATGACGTCGGTTAGAACGTAACCGTCTTGGCGACCATTAACGCGCCGTGATAACTGA